TTTCAGCCCCACTGGGCGGGGCTCTGTCTCCGTCACACATGACTTCACTAAAGGATTTTGAAATCTGTCACTCTTGAGTCTCTTCTGTATAATTATTTGGTACATTGTTTCCATATTTCTCTTTATTTTATCCTGATTAGATAACAAATTCCCCTGCTGATCCTTTCAGAATCCTTCATCTAGGTTTATATTTCTCTTAGAGTTCCTATATTTTAGAGAAAATATTTCTTTATTCTTCTTGTTGTTCTCACCTATTTCTTTGCAATAACTGTTATAAAAGTTTTTCTTCTCCAAATGTGAACATTGCTGAAAAGTTATGCTAAAGTTTCTATCTATACTCTTATGTTACATTTGCGTCTCATATGTTAACACTTTTAAAATTTTCAACATTTATCCATCAATGCTTTTCTTTTGAGTTGAGGATAGTCAATATTCACTATTACCTACTAATATCTTTGGTTTCAATCACAATTCTTCTGGTTCATAGTCAACTTAGGTCTTATCGCCACAGCATTGTTGTGCAATGATGATGATGATAAGAAGTACTGCAACTCCTTTTAGTATGATCTTCTTGTCCTTGTTATCATCAACAGTTACAAAAATAACTACAAGAATAGCAATAGCTTTCCATTCCAACAGCATATGCACAAAAAAACACAACACCAACGTTTATCTTAATCTCATTTTGCAAGGAAATAGGAACACTTCTAAATTGAACCCTAGCTAAGATCAGAAATCCAATAAGTTTTTAAATGACAATGAAGCAGTATTTTATTAAGACAATAATTTTGCATAAATAAATTCCATTCACATCAATAAAAAATTAATAAAAACAAAATCAAACCATGATTTTTCTCTTCTAGATTTCAGTGACTTATATTTCAGTCAATTATTTTCTTTGAAGGAAAAGCTGAAGTTCCACATGTTTGCAGAATACTTTTATTAGCCTTTTGTAGATAAATTATATATACACAGCATTTTCTATTTCTGTATGATTCATCTAGTCTCTAACTATTATGTCTGTTCCTTATTCTTATGCCTGTATTTACTGTGCTGTGGACACCTGAAAGTTCTGTTACTTTACAGCAATACTACTATATATTTAAGGAATGACAATGAACTTGATAATACTAATTAACAAAATTGCCATTTAGGGTTGTGAGTAGGTGTCATTTAAGGTCTCCTTCTTCCTGCTTTTTGTTTAGAGCACCACTGTGAGCTCTCATTCAAGAGAAATCTCATACACAAACATGACTGAAATGAATATTGTTCACATAAAACTATTGGGGAGCTTAGCATTCCCTTCTAATCCTTCCCCTTGATAAGCAGAGCATGACTAGCAATTTTGACAACTTTGTCATTCATGATATGAAAATAATACAAGAAGCAATTATTGCTACCTTGGGTCCTTTTGAGGAGAAAGGTGAGGTAAAAAATATTTTAAATAAATACATTTTAAATAAATACAGCACTGAACATCCTGCCAGCACCTCCCCTCTTCCACTGGGGAAAAGCAACACTGCAAGAGCTACAAAAGCAATGAAAAATGTGAAATATATTATAATATATAATTTGTGTAGTTAAGCATACTATATATGAATAAGTTGGCTTTCTATGATGTCCAGTTCGGAGGCCAGGTCTACTGCCATCTTTTCCTATGGCAATAGACCAAGCTTTTGAACCAATCTTGGAAATGTGGGGAAAGAGGTAAAGCTCTGGCTGCTCCACCCTACTTACATCCTTGTTTCTTTGTCCAGAATCTTATGACAGGTGTTGGTTCAGAATAAATTATATGACTACCGAAAGATTATTTTAATAGATGGGTGAACTGTAAGACTGAGAAAGCAATGTTTGTTCTGAGTTTTGGGAATGTCCATGTGACTTTTTTTTTGCTCTGGTCAGGCTAATACTGTCTTGCTTCTGGATTTCCCATAGGTATCTAGAGAGCCACTGTTACAACATGCTTGCTGGAGTAGATGGTGCCTTTAGTCTGTTTTCAAGAGAAGGAAATTTGGGGTCAGGCCAATAGCAGTACTTATCTGTGCGTCTTTTAGTGAAGTTTGTTTAATTAATTTTATTGGTCTTAATCCAACTGGCAATCCCAAGAGATAGACCTGCTGAATCAATGAGGCTCACCATTACGCAATTTATTCTGGTCTAGTCAAAAGTAGTAATTGAATTTAGTTCACCAGATTTATATACTATTCAATAATAGACGCTTCTTGAGAAACTCACAGAAAATAAAAATCACACAAGTTCATGCAATGGGGTCTGACTTAAACCAATTTACCTTCTATTCTAAATTTAGGCAACAAGATGCTGACTTATGAAACATAAATCAAGTATCTTCAAATGTAAAAGCAAACATTACTTAAAAGGCTAGGGAAATAATATGTTTTTCACCTACCTTGCACAGAAAAATGAAATAAAAGATGCCACCAGGCAAATCTCTATGGAGAAGCTATTCCATAGTGAGGATGCCACCACCAAGTTCTCTCCTTGGCCACCCACCCAACTCATTTCATTTAGTGATAGCTAAAGAGTATCTTAATGATCAAGCACACATGTAACAGGCTCGTATCAGTTTGATTCAAAGGAGAACCTAATATGAATATGAAGGTGGCAACACAAAACAGTCTGTTCTCGAAGACTTTCACAGCTGGGATCTGATGGTTGTTGTGGGCTGTTTGGCCATGTTCTGGAGGTTTTTCTTCCTAACATTTCACCAGTCTCTGTGGCTGGCATCTTCAGGGGACAGGATCTAGAAAAGACAAACTTCTAGCTCCTGCCCCCCGAAGATGCCAACAGAATTCTGTGCAGACAGAATGCTAGCTCCTGTCCTCTGAAGATGCCGGCCACAGAGAATGGTGAAACATTAAGAAGAAAAACCTCCAGAACACAGCCAAACAGACCAAAAAACCCGCAACAATAAAACAGTCTGTTATCATTGCTACCATCCACCAAGAAGGTACCTTCTGAAACACCAATCTTATATAAGATTCATGCATTTTGTTCAATGGTGCTCATTCCCAGATAAATGTGCACAAGACTGCTGTCTCAGTTTCTCCTCATGAGTCAGTCTCCCATTAATTATTCCAGCTTTGCTTTTACTCTATGAAGTAACATTAGTCAATTAGAATTATATGGAAAATATATTATTCAGATAGTATCTCATAACAATTTCCTTTTATTCAGCTGTTGCTTATATTCAATTTAATTTTAGCTACTTTTCTGGCAAAGATGAGCCAATTTTTAGCAAAAATAAATACACTGCAACATCCAAATACAGAAATCTGAGATTTGATTAAAAGTGTAAACCTAAACATCTAACAACAGGATTTATGAATAAATCTTTACAGGATTTCACTGCATTATTTTTGACTCCTATCAGAATTTAAATCTATAGCAGTCATATCAGAAAAAGTAGCAATTTGCGGCTTCTTCCCCCAGATGAGCATGCAGAAAACATAAATGCAGAGTTGAACAATACCATCATAGTATTTGCATTCTTCCAGATGTAGTTATACTCTGGCCAAGCTAATACAAGAGTTTCAAGGTACCTGATTTCCATTGGACACTAACACCAAAGTTTCCATTCTTAACACTTATTCCAGGAGAGTTTGACTGAAGCCAAGAAGATTATTATGTTGTGTTTCCAGTCACACATTTCATTCTTCCAGTTTCCCGTCTTTTAGGAATGAAATTAACAAGACTAAAACCTTGCAGCTTAAGAGTAAGAAGCCCACACTGCCAAGGAATACCCAGAAGAGCTTTATATTGCCCAACTATGAGAAAATAATTCCAACAATTTGCAAATTAACACTAATTTTTCAACAAAGGTGCATAATCCCTATCCCACCAACTGCTTTCCCTGCTGACTATATAGATGTTTTTTCCAATAGTTTGGCAAGCATGTCTCAGAATCTCCAGCTGAAGAAGAAACTGCTGGCAGTGCTGTTTCTCCCCTAAAAGTATATGCAAACACACTGCTACTTTCTGTTTTAGCAGCAAACATGCAGCTTGGAATACTATGATACCAAATGTATAGTTTTGATATTTTTAAGTAAGAACATTAAAGTGATGTGTGTAGAATGGATTGAGATCTTGGTACAGAAAGCATTTGACAACAAAGCTAGTGAAACTGAAAACAACGGAATTGCTAAGCTCACTCAGATGGGAGAGTAAAATATTTGTCTAGACCTCTCAGTTTGATGGGACTGTGATGGGGTGCATTCTGGTACACATGGCAAAATCTCTTGAAGAAGGCCAAGAGATTTGGTACCCTATTCAGATAACTACTTTAGTGGCTGAATATCCTGTTCTATAAAATTATAACCTCTACTTTTATTCCATGGGGCAACACACGCTGCAAATTTATTGGCTCAGAATTACTGGTATATGTTGGCTTACTCCCAGCCATTTCAAAAAGGGGACCTGCACTGATTTACAACAAAATTTATGATTGCTCTGCAGGTGAATGGAGACCAAGGAATGTAATTGTATTCAACAGCAGGTGTTCACAAAGCCTGCACCAAAAATATATTTTTTTAAAAAAATTGATGCTAATTATCCTAATCTTGATTAAAGTTTAATAAAATAAATTTTAACTGATGCCAGACCCAAATTAGCCATGCAGGGATAATGTTTTAGCAAGGTCTTCCTTTTATCTGAATAATGTATAGCAACTTGTTGCATGATCTGCTGAAAGAAGAGTCAACGTGCTCTAATTAGTTTCAGCTGCCTCGTGCTTGCATTTTTTTAAAAAAGGAAGCTTTGTTCAATTCATCTTGTGGTTTAGAAATCAGATGTTTGACAATGATGCCCATCCTCATGAAATACCCGTATGGTGAAAATTTTAAGTATGAATAATCCCACAATCGGGCTAAGCTGTGTAATACAGATATTTTCTTCCTATGTACGGAAATATCTCATTCCTGGAAATACAACCAAATACTACCCCCACCCGCCCATTCCCCTTTTTGTCTTCTTCTGTTACTTACACCGGAGTATGTGGGCAGGGCACTTGATTCCAGGGACAGTTGTACTGAACTTGAACATAACTCTCAGTGCCGTCGAGCACCGAGCAGCTCACATTCTTGTTCACAATGTAGGCACACCAGTTTCTGCAGGAGAAAAAAAGGAGATGAGCAAAACAGACGAACTCTAAACAAGCAAACAATGAAAATTATTAAACTATCTGTATAGGTGAAACAAGCAACTTTTCATTCAGGTCAAATCAAGCTTGCAGTAATGTCTCCAAGCCCAACTATGAAGGGCACACAAGCTCAAAGTTAAAAACTGCAACAGTCTGAATATGTAGAGGATGTTTTTGTAGAACTCAAGTATTCTTTGAAGCAGCTCACTTTATTTAAAAACAAAACTGTGAAGGGAAGTCCTACATATTTCTGCTCAAAAGTAAATTCTAAACGTTAAACAGATATAAGATTTTCTGCCTTCAACACACAATCACACCAAATCAACTGCTTACTACAAAATAAAGTCTGACATGGCAAAAGAATATCCTCTCATTTCAATACAGTTTGTTTGAACCTCAGGTGATACAGTCACTTTTTCTGCTCCTCTCTTCCTAATATGAGCCAATGAATTTCTTTAAATGAACAGACAACCAGACCCTACTGGCTACTGTTCACGGATATCTTTGTTTCATATTATTTTGTAAGCAGTGAATGCAATAAATTGTATCCTCAATTTATTGGATCAAAATAAAAATAGTCTAAGCAGTGAATTACTTCCTGAGAATGAGAATAGTGACATGTTTCCAGTGTGAGAGCAATGCCTTGGGTATGTACACTATAAAGGAACTATTTATTATCCTTTCTAGGATAAGCTGTAAGGTTCTTCTCATCCATGTTTGTAGGAAACAAACTTTCTTTTGCTTAGTCTGGGGATTGCTTGGTGATCGTTCAAGTTCAGAGCTGATCATTCAATTGGAGCTTATGGTTATTTCTTCCACCACCACCACCACTCAGACTCGCAGTTTTTCCTGCAGGGTGAGAAGTGTGTTCAGTGTTGTTGCAAGATTCCTGCTGTGTGAACTGACAAGGAGAACTGGGGGACAGAGAAAGATGCAAGTTTAGCTGGTATGGGGCACGTAGGGGGTTTGCAGCCAGTTCTAAGCAGAAGTGCCTGCTTCTAATAGGCTATACTTATATACTTGGAAATAAAATGTAGCCAGTACAACTGGTCAGAGCTGTCTCCTGTATGGGGGAAATAATTACCCTTCAGGTGAATTCCACTTACTTGGGGGAACTGAGCAGCACTGAGCAGAACCTGTGATTTCAAGGCTGGGGTGATAATGAACTTTCTTTTGATTTAAAAGATACTAAACTGAAACAAACCTCCATCTGCTGCCACTGTTAGAAGTCAGAAGAGGGGGTCAAAAGTTACCAAAACAGAAACAATGTAGCACAGGTATTTTGATGACTCAAACCAGATGACTGAATCCTCAGAGTCAGTATCTAGGCAACGCCCAACATATACACAAGTACACATATTCAGTTAGAACTGATGATGATGATGATGTGCTAGAAGGTAAGGGAGCACAGAGCACTTCTACAACTGGGAAAGACTTGAACTAAAAAATTATCAGCAGGGACGATGAAAGGTATGTTTGTGAGTGTGAGGTGTTAACTTGTTAGCAGCTGTACAGGTATAGTGTTGATTCCGGTCATGCCCTTTTTACCATCACTTTTCACCACCACCACCACCCCCAGTAAGGATAGCAGCTGACCTCTAATTTACTGCTCACATCTTCCAGCCCACCACTTCACCAGCCACCACATAAGATACACATTTCCACAGAATAGCTACAATATTTATCCAGAGGGTCCACCTTCCAGCTTTGTGGTTCTAAGTTCTAAGATTTAGTAATCAGTTCCATTTATTGCAATGCTGTTCTAAGGATGCAGCCTGGAAAAGAAGGAATAATCCTGGCCTTTGCTTTCAACCAGAAGATTAGGGGACAATGGGAGTTGTCCCTTCTGCCTATCAGGCAGAACATCCCAACAAGGAGATGGCCAGCTTGATCAGCCAAAGAAAGAACAGCTGCAAGGAACTTGTTTCTTCTTGCTTTCCTGCCAGAAAGAGCAACCAGATGTTAGCAAATTGTCCTGTGATTGAAGAACCTTATAGAAGCATGTTATAGCCCTAGCCATCAGACTTAAGGGATACTAGATTGTGTGTGTGTTGTTGAAACAGCCTTACTGAGAACTTTAGAAATCATTACATTATTGGGGGGGGGGTGCTTCAATTTTAAAAAATGGAGGTGAAACCTTATGTTTTTTATGGCCACCCTGTTTTCCCAAAAATAAGACCTAATCTGAAAATAAGCCCTAGTATGATTTTTCAGGATGCTTGTAATATAATCCCTACCCCAAAAATAAATCCCAGTTAAGTGAAACCCCGCCCTCCACCATTGTGCAGCATTGTGCAGCAACCAGAAGATGGTGATATGACTGTTTTTGAATAAATGTAGATTGTTGTACATGAAAAGAATAAAACATCCCCTGAAAATAAGCCCGAATACGGTTTTTGGAGCAAAAATTAACCCTGTCTTATTTTCGAGGAAACATGGTATTATATCCCACCTTTTCATGAATAAGACTCCCAGAGCAGCTCATAAGCAATTTAACAGTCCCTGCCCTCAGGCTTGCAATTTAAATAGAAGACATGACATACAACATATGAGGGATGGAGAAGGAAGAGAGGGGAAATTGCAGAATGAACTTTCCCACTACCACAGGTCATATCAAATATATTTCTGCCAAATGCCATTAAATTCAGCAGGCACACTATAAGTATTGCTTACACCTGGTAACAGGGGCCCTAGCCCTGGCTCCAGCCCTAGTTCCATTCCCCATGAAGCCAGATCTTTTTTCCAGGCATACATTGGTGCCAGTTGCTGGTTCTTTCCTAAACATAATTGCTACTCAAAGTGATTTTCAAGGGAGGCTGCAGGTGGGGAGGAAAAGGTCAACTCTCCCCTCTACACATTACTAAACTCCTTAATCCCTCTTCCATGACAATTATGCTCAGAAAAACAAAAGGAAACTTTGCCTTGGTGCTCAGGGAACGTTTTTCTTCCTTCATGAAGTGGGACCAATTTTCCCACTTCATGGTAAAGAGAAATAAAGAGAGAAGGGACATTCAGAAATAAACGTGGAAGAGAGAGAGAGAAGATGTGTCTGTTGACTTCCAAAATGTCTTAACAGCTTGGACAGGAGAGCCTTCTTCAGGTACTCAAATGTTAATTCACTATTTATCTCATGAACATGAC